CATAATCACTAATTTGTAAGCTATAGAACAATTCATAATACCTGATAAGGAGAAAAATATTCATGATATGATTATTGTTCTTGTTTTTTAAAATTCTGCCAATGCATGAAAACTGCGGCCATGGAAGACTAAACCACGGGCGTCTGTTTGCGTTTCTGTTTATATTCTGAAGCATTTGTTATTTAGGAAAATACGCTCTTTAAATATTACTCTTACTTTAAATAAATTAATGACGTCATCAATGAAACACATAGATCTTTTTCATTATTTCAAAATTATTAAAATATCTTCAAATATTTGTCTTACCTTCCTCAAATACTAATAAAGATATATTTACTTGCTGGGATCATTTTCATCTTCAAAATGCAGGAATGGAAGAATTTATGTCGATCGACACTTTTTAAGAATTTTTTTTATCATTTCTTTACTCTACCAGTATAATCTATGATAATTTTATTTTGAATTTAACAATTTAAAAGACTAATAATTCATTAATATTAACTTTCCTTAAGCTATTGAAAAGATTCCTTTGGCATTTTAAGCTAAACAAAGAAGGAGCCTTATGGCTAATCGTAGATTGATGCTCGAATACTTGTTTTGCACTGCAGTTAGTTGATTTTTTGAGTTATTTTCGACCGTGGTTTACTAAACAATAATTTTACCATTTTAACTTTTTTTAGGTATGAAACATAAAATCTTTCACTTTGCATCTTTATTTGAGGTTTGAAGTTACAATCTCTGCATTGTTATGTTCTATTGACTGAAACTATTCATATTCTGTGTCATAAAAATCATAAAAATATGCTACCCTTCTACTCACTGCTGCGTTTTTCCACAACCAAGCATTAGAATCCCCTTTCTCTCTCATGCACTTTTTTATATCCATTTTCGCTATCCAGCAGATAATCCGAATCACGTCTCACGTCTCCATTACTTTCACCATAAAGTTCTTAAATAAAGTTTCATTTTTTTCCTATGCTTTATTTCTTCTTTATTAAAATTTATTGTTAAATCGGTCAAATGCAAAATATCTTCAAGAATTCGATGCTAGGCTCTGCTTAAGGGCTTACCGCCCAACTTTTAAGCTGAACCAACAACAATGAAAAGAGTAAAGCAGAGAAAACCAAATCCTTCAGATAAAGTTCTTTTTTTGCAGATAAGAGGCTTCAGAGCTTTCAAAACTGACGGTCGGTCTCTCTTTTCTACTTAAGTGTGAAAACGCTTTTGGATGCTATGGTAGACGCAGTGACACTTTTAAAACGCCACAACCATAGACTCTGTAATACCTATTATGTATCCAAAAAGTTAAGGTAACACGTTTGCTTGAAATAAAAAGTATGGCAATTACAAAAATGTGTTGTACAGTTCACGATGTGTGCAGTATGTGCAGCACCTTACAGCTTTGGATTAATGTGCAAAATTTAGTTACTAATTCTCACGAATTAATAATTATATTAATAACTATGCAACTCAAACTCTTGATAGTTAATAACAACGTGAGAGTTATTCAGTTGATTTACAATGATGTAATAAAATAACCTTATAAAATTTAGACTAAAATTACAAAGAAAGATACTCTAAATTTAAACTAATTTTGCCACACGCAGGAAAATTTCTTACCGCTGGTTTCCATTTCCCAAGAAAATAACTCATCAGAAAATCAAAAGCTACTGCAATGAAATGTAGGTTTTATTCAGACTTCAGTATTTTCATCTTAATTAATTTCCTGTTGTCTTACACTTAAAACACAACGCGTAGATGATTCAGTTCTGATGTGTATTTCGGGAATATGAAATATATTAGACTAAAAAGAATTTATTGCACACGTTCTCTTCTTTGCTTACTGAATGTTTTCTGTGAAACTGCTTTAAAGGAGAGCTACCGAGTTCCCGAATACGTGTTGAGCATGCTATCCAGTTGCAGATAATTATTATTTTTTTATCGATTAACAGTCATGTGTCTTTGGAAGAGATTCGGGAATAAAACTCTCTTTGTCGTGGACATGAATAATAAATATGAGAATAGTTACATGATTTGAAGAAACTTAATTAAAAGAAATTATCCCTACACTACAAGCAATGCTACAGCAAGAAATACTGTTGATTTTGAAATTTTCTTGTGTGAGTAGCGATCAAATAAGTGTTCTGCGGCAAGAGGGTCAGGGGCGCGGCCAATGACGTCACGAGCAGAAATGAGTTGTTTTTAGGCTGTAGTTTGAGTTGTAGACCTCCTGCTACTAAGAGTTTTCATTTAAATTTAGTTTTTCAAAATTGGTAACGGGGAATTGTGGGTAAATGCTCATTGCGCTCTGTAGGGACGAAAGAAGAAAATAATGTATTTTGGAAATTTTTAAATCACTAAATGATTCGCTGAGAGAAAAAAATAAAAGCAATTTACCTTTAAAGAAAATCTTATAAAAATGAAATTATATGGAAAAAAATTGAATTGTTCTCATCACCACCTGACTTTATAAACGTTGCAAAAATCAATTTTTTTCATTAAACATCTTTTATATTTTTCTGAGCCATTATTGAGTATATAACGTTTATCATCAAAAGCAGAAAGAGATATTTTATTGGTAGCAACGGTAAAAAGATGAGGATTCTTACTTTGAATATTATACTGCAATTCCCTGGTATATGTAGACTCCTCTAAACAGGCTCTATATTTATGTTTAAGTTTCCTTTTAATTATGTTACTCTTGATTCCTTTTGCTGTTATCTTTTCACTTAAGCAGTAAAGAATACATTTTCGGTCTCAGAACTATAAATCCCAGTATCGGTTCTGAATTCATCTCTTCCTTGAAACATCCAATTTTATTTTTATTACTAATATTAAATAAGAGATGACTCTCGGGTAATCTGATGCATCATATATTTGCATGTGTAAATTCACATCTTGATATACATCATTAGTTTATATCTCGTATGCGAGAGAATCAGCCTTTATTCAATATTAGTTATAAAAAGAAAATTGGATGTTTCAATGGACGAAATGAATTCAGAACCGATATTGGAATTTATAGGTTGGAGACCAAAAATGTATTCTTTTCTGTTGAACGAAAGTGAAAAGAACACAGCAAAAGGAATCAAGCGTAACATAATTAAAAGAAAACATTAATATAAAAATTATAGAGACTATTTAGAGGAGTCTACATATACCAGCGAATTGCAGATAATATTCAAAGTAAAAATCATCATCTTTTTACCATTGCTACCAAAAACTAGCTCTTTTTGCTTTTGATGACAAACGTTATATACTCAATAATGGAGTGCTTTTCTATGCTCATGGTCATAAAAATATAAAAGATGTTTAATGGTGGGAAAAAATGGATTGTTGGGGCGTTTATAACGTCGGGTGGTGGTGAGAACAATAATAAACTTTTTTTCCATATAATTTAATTTTTATGAGATTTTCTTTAAAGGTAAGTTGCTTTTATTTTTTCCTTCATACATTGTTTTCAGAGAATCATTTAAATGATTTAAAAATTTCCAAAATAGATTATTCTTTTCAGCCCTAGAGGTCGCCATGAGGGTTTCCCTCCAATTTCCCCGTTACCAATTTTGAAAATCTAAATTTAAATGAAAACTCTTAGTAGCAGGAGGTCTACAACTCAACCAACAACCTAAAATCAACTCATTTCTACTCGTGACATCATTGGTCCTGCTTCCCTGGTGTGATGTCATCGATGACTTTGCCCTTTGTCCAGCCCTCTGCGTGACGCTATTAGCCACGCCCCTGACCCTCTTGCCGCAGAAAGCTCATTTTATAGCTACTTGTGTGAGTGTCGCTGCTATAATCCGAATGTAATATTAAAGTTTTATCTTATTTCTTTTTAGAATGTTAATATTAAATTAAAATTTATTAAAAAATTATTCTTTTCTTGATTGCTTCATTGTTTCGTATTGAAGTATTTTAAGTTTTTAAGATTCTTTTCTTCCAACAGTAACTTAGAATAACACAGTGGGGAATCCTACAATTTTAAAATAGAAAAAAGAATAGTACATTAAAAAATCGCAATAATTTGGTTACAATCGCTTTCGTCTCCTTCGTATGTTTGAATGAATCCTTTTAATCGCGAAAATGTACATATACAAGGTGTTTCCGAATTTGACTGGCAAATTTAGAGGGGTGATAGTAGGCATCAAGAGGATGAAAAATTTGCTTCGGATAGGGGTCGAAAATCACGTTTATTGGGAGAAAATCGGCAAAATATTTATGAACAATGTGTCGTCGAATGGAACATAAGGGGCCAATAACAAGTAGAAAAACATTTATTTGACGTAAAGTGGGATTACAGTGCATCACATTTCAATGTCATAAAAGAGATGACGAGATAGTTCTACAGGAATTCTTTGAAGCTGCGACCGCGAAGGTTATTGCACAGCCGACACCGATGGACGAAGGATTGCCGAACACGCTCAACTTCATGTTTTGGCCACAGTGGCAGGTATTCTCTGCGTCAAATACGGCAAGTCGAGCTGCAGGAAAACAAGATAATTTGAGGCATTCTGGCAGAAGGTACGGTCCTAACAGATGATCTCCGAGGTTCCCTGCCTAGATGTTAATACCGAAATTGTATTGCGTTACCGATGGGGCAGTGCTATGAGGATTTTCGAAAGACCTGTCCTCTCGACTCACTGTCCTCTGGACATCCATTTTTGCGATTTTCCCTCGCTAAATGTGGTTTGTGACTCCGAGTTTTAAGGTAATTTTCTTCCTCTTGACGCCTAATATGATCTCTTTGAATATGTGGGTATAATTCGGAAACATTCTCTATACACACACATATGTATAATACAATATATAGAAACACACGTACACGTATATATGTAAAAAATGTAAATGTAAAATAAAGCTTTTTTTGATACCGAAGAATTTAAATTGCATCCATAATAAATCCAATTCCATATTTATCACTTCAGGCTTAAGTTTATGCATTTCTGCACCTATTAAGAAAGAATGCTTTTAGATTACGCAGAAAAGATACATTTTATTACCTTTGAGTCATCCACTGGAGTTGGGGGCCACGTCCATTCATCCTTTTGAGTTTGTGTTGCTCCACATACGTTACACCTCCACCTAGCACCTGTCGGTAAGGCAACTGCACCATACCCATCACAGCTGCCTTCACATGGTGTTGTTCCTGGACTCGGGTAATCTTCCCGCGGACCGAGTACAATTGATTCTGCAGGAGATCCATTCGGTTTCTTCTTCTTTTTGCTCTTAGACTTTGAAGTCTGCGTGGCAAGAGCGTAACGTAAAGGTTGTGGATCCGAATTTCCTGAGTAAGAATCGGGTCTAATATCACTGCATCGACCCATTACTTCAGAACGAGCTCGTTTACGAATCTGCATATAGATCCTAGCATATGTGGCTATCATTGCAAGCATTGGGCAGTAGAAATTGAGCGTGGAAGTTGTTAGCTTGAAGACGACATTATCGGCAAACTCCGTCTGAAAGACAAAATGCAATTAGAAGTTTAGAAAAGCGTATGAAATTAACTTTATTTCATCTAAAATTTATTTCAACTAACGTCTTCCGATATACAGATAAGCGTCCTGTTTATGGAAAGAAGAGAGAGAGAGCATGTAAGGAAGAAGAATTTAAAGAAGAATGTAAAGATGAGAGAGACAGCATGTAAAGACGAATGTAAAGAAGAATGCAAAGAAGAGAGATAGCATGTAAAGAAGAATTTAAAGAACTTAAAGAAGAGAGAAAGCATGTAATGAAGAATGTAAAGAAAATAGAACATGTAAAGAAGAAGAGAGAGAGCGCATGTAAAGAAGAAGGAGAGCATGTAAAGAAGAAGGAGAGCATGTAAATAAGAGAAAGACAGCATGTAAAGAAGAAGGAGAGTATGTAAAGAAGAATGTTAAGAAGAGAGAGAGAGCACTATCAAAAATGGAAAGTATAGAAATATTAAATCCTGTACTTTTTAATATGCAAATGCATTTTGATCTCTGGAAAGAGTAAGCAAGAATATATTACTTTAAATATATGTGAAAGCTAAATAAGTTATTTTACCCATACAAAAACACGCTATCATGAAATAAATGTTAACTTCACAAAACGCGATGAAAGAATTTGAAAGAGCTGATTACGAATTAAATATATTGCTATAAATCTATTGCTTATAAAGGGAAAACAATCGATTTTATAAAGGAAAACAATCGACACAAAGAATGATTGAAATGCGAAGGAATCTTTTTAAAAAACGAGGGTCACCGAAATATGGACGCGAATTTCTAGTAGAAACGAATTTAAGAAATGCATCATTTTCTTGCATCTTTAGATTAAATTCTCGCATAGAGGATAGATGGCAAAAAACCATTGATTTAAATTTTGCTCTTTAAGTCAAATATTATTCTTCAAACTTAGACTGAAAATTACGATGCTTTTTAACTTTACTTTTTTGAATTGTTCCATTAAAGTATTAGCGATGCTTTGCTGGTTCACATCTAATCCCATATCATTTGTTCTGCGCTTAAATAAGTTCTGTTTCTCCAGTCGTACCCTTTTTAATTTTTTGAAGAAAGAAACATAATTGTAAACGTGCAACGAAAATGAAAGATATAGTAAAAATAGTAGAAAAAAAGATGAATATCGGTACTATAAATTATACTTTCTTTTGATATTCTTTGTTAATGTTCTGTGTTTAATGTTGTAATGTTATGACACTTACTTATTTTTATTTTCTTTAATTTTTTGCAATGTATATGGTATTTTAAGTAACTGTATATGATACTTTAAAAAATAATCTCATGCATACATACTTAAAATTAAGATTGGTGAAAAATAGTTATAGGTCGTAGAGTATAGCAGATTAAGCTTGAAGAACATAAATAAGCGAAATCATAAGATAAGGAAAATTTACTTCATTCTGTAAAACTTGAAGCAATGGAAAATTAATATCAGAATTTCCCCACCAGTAATTTAATTATATGTTAGAAGACAATTTGGATTTTCTATAAAATGTTACATTTTGTAATTATATTCTGGTTTGATATCTGTAAGTAATGAGTTCTATGATTTCGCCATCTCTTCTTTGATTTGAATATAACATCATTTTTAATTTATGACTAATTAACTTCAAGAAAACTGTTAAAACTTTAAAATACTTTTATTTGGAATTAAATATTATTGCTTGGGTAAAGCCGACTAACATAGTTTCTATTATTTTTCAGTTTTCAACCAATATTAATTCATTGGGCCAAAAATTATTTGTTTATTACACTTTTCAGCATACTGTATTAATATCGAATCCATACCATAACAGTGTTAAACCAATATGTTATTGAATTGAATCACTGTTACTAAACTAAAAATAAAGAGAAATGCTGAAACTAAAACCATTGACCTTCAGTTCTTTAATGACGAATTTAACAGCATGTTGTAAAATGCACTTTTATAAAGGAACTAGCCTTACATTTTAAAGCAAATGCTTAAGGTTTTCCATGAAAAAGGACTATTGCTTATACTTTAAGGGAGCTTTAATCGCTGAAAACTCCCACTGACACAAATGCTTCTCTAAATGCCAACAATAACTTCCTAGAGAAAGAAAATGGAACAATTGATAGAAAGTAAAAGGTAAAGAGATAAGTGTAAAAGGGAGTTTGTTTTTTACATTTTTTACTTAATGAAAGATCAATTCTGCTCTGAAAATCGCAGCTATTTCTTACATCAGACTGTAATTAAGAAGTAATAGCCTTTTTTCAAGGAAATTTCTTTAAATTAATTTCTCATACAAGGTCACTTATATATTTCTTAAATATATATATGTGAAAAGAAAGCCACACGCACATTTATTCTTGGTTTGTTTGCTGTAAGGAAGGGAAAGTTATTTGGTAGTTTTCAAATAGATTCTAGCATTCATTACTATAATAATACTTAAGCTATAAAATTTAAATATTAATTTAAAATCATGGGTATATACACAATACTCATACATATCATGCACAAAACATGACAGTGGTTTCTTTTCATTTCTGAAATTACTTTTTTATTAGTGTTATAAGAATGGGCAATGATAAAGACATTTTTCTAAAACTATTAATTAGTTCTTGAAACCTAATTAATACTTTTCTCTTCTAAAATATTTACTATGGTGTAAAATAACCAGAACAGTCCATCTTCAGAATGTGATCTAGTGTGCAATTACATAAGACCATATCGGTATGAAATTTTAAGAAGTATATACTGATGTAAGTCGAGTAAAATTATACCCATTCAGATATCCATTCAGGAAAAAGGAGAGCATGCTAGAAGAAGTAAAAAAATAATAAAAACATAAACTCTGCTAAGTTGAAGGTAGGAGGTAAAGTACTATAAAAATTAGCAAAGAACACCTACTGTTAGAAATAACGAAGAAAGACGATCTAACAGTACTAGAGGAAGCAATTAAAGAAAATAAACAACTAAAGGACGTGATGGAAATGTATTCAATAAGGAAATGCCACAAAAGGAAATTTAAAGAAATTATAACTTTCCTTCGTGCGTACTCTGGCGACGTAATAGATAACAAGACCAATTAGCATTAACAAAATACGTTATTTAAGTCCTTCCGAGGCAAGGTTGATTTCTTTTTTATCACTTCAAAATTCTAAAATTCTAGTAAAATGTTATATAACTAAATAGTAATATATAAATTCATTTCGATAATTAAGTGCAGATGTTTCTCAGTCAATCATTCTTGAATAAAAGGAATGCCGAGGTTTAGTAACCTTGAATTTTGTCTTCGTTTTCTGCCTAAAATGTAATGACGTTAGTGAAAATAAATTATATTCTGCTCTTTAATAATAGCAACAACAATAATAGTACGAACAACAACAGCAGCAACTATAATAATAATAGAAACAGTAACAACAACTATAACAATAATAACAACAGCAACAATAACTATAATAATAATAACAACAGCAACAACATTAATAATAATAGCAACAATAATAATAACAACTACAACACTAATACAGTACAAAGTCCGTAATCCGGACGTTCATTATCCGGAATTATCTATAATCCAGACCTCAAAGCCACAAACTTAAGCATGCGCTTTTAATGCGCGCGTCCGCTACTCATGCGCATAAAGCGTTTACCTATGCGCACTTCCGATAGTAAGGAAAGTGACAGAGAGGTTACTGAATTCGAAAAAATTTCGATTGACAAGTTAGTCTGTATTCTCGACACAGCAATTAAAGGACTTGAACAGTGGAAATTTGTAACTGAACAAGAAATTATGTCTGTTTATAGAATTAAAGAGAATGTATTAGCACAAAAAACGAAGCAACTTAAGCAACTTGCCTTGAAAGAAATGTTTAATAAAGTAAACAAATAAATATGAAGTTTTTTTCTTTGTAAATTTTGATACCCTTTAGATCATAATTGCTCTTTATTTCATAAATTACGGTTACATATTTTTAATTGTATAATTTCTACATGCCATCTTACCAGATTTAAAGTGATGATATATAATCCGGAAAAACCCCTAATCCAGAATCGCCGAAGTCCCGACGAGTCCGGGTTACGGACTTTGTACTGTAATAATAATATGGATCGCTTTCTGCTGGCAAAAAGAAAAATTTTGTTTTCGAACATTTTTATTCTTACACACGCGTAATTGTCACATTATTTCCTATTTTAATTTCTATATCAAAGCTTTATATTTTTTTATATAAATTTGCATATTGGATGTGGCAAAAAAAATGTAGATGGTCTCGTAGAGAGCTTTTTTTTAGCACAAAATGGCTTCAACCAGAATATTCTATTAATCTCGAAACGGGATTTTATGTCACCCTCAATCAAAGAGGTTAGAATATATGGTATAAGCATGACATCCCAAAAATGAACTCAAGGAAATGTCAACAATGTGACGTCAGGACTTATCATGGTCGCCATACAGAGTACGGATGGGACTGCGAAACATATTGTTACGAATTTTGTACTTAAATAGGTAGGTTGAATTAAAGTAGTAATAGTAAAAGAATTATAAGTAAAATTGTATTTTTACTTATTTATATTGTGCCGTATTTTTACAGTGTAATATAGCGCGAGGCAAATTTTTTAAGACAGCTATGCCGGAAAAGTGAGAATACAGGAGCATGTGCATTTAACATTGAGTAAATGGGTATCTCGATAATTTGGCCAGATATCGCCAAGCTGTGAATGGTTTTGGCTACTTATTTTGTAAGTAAGTACTTAACAAGTAATCGCTATTGGCGATAATTAGGCGATATTTGGGCCCGGACTCTGTATCACGGTAACATGTATTGAAATTGAATAAATGTAATTGACCACTATGTTAGCTGTAACAGTAATTCCACCCCAGTATTGCTTTCCAGTAACTTCGAGAAGCAGAAAGCACTAGAAATATCTTGCGGCCGTTTGAAAAATATTTAAGGCCGAAGAAAGAGCAGATGCTCTTATAGTTGCTTAGTTATTGTTACTGCGATTTGAT